ACATCCTGTTCCTTCCAAACCCTGCTGATGAAGGGTGCTGGGGAGATCCCTGATGGACATGATACTTAAACCCCAGCATCCGAACGCTGGGTGTGTCTGCCAGCTGCTCCCACCAGCTGCAGAGTGGCCGTGGCCCTGCCAGCGGCTCCGGTGCAAGTCCATGCTGGGGTCACCCATGCCCGGGGGGGCTGAGAGCCCTTGGCACCCACCGATGCTGTGCCCGTCTGGCTGTGCATGCAGCAGCGTGGAGCCAGCGGCACCGACCCTCTGGCACCCATCGGCACCCCCGTCCTTCATCCCCCTTCCTTCAAAGGGCTTGGCTGCACTTGCCACTCCAGCCTCCACTGCTTTCCTTGACCCCTGGTTGTGGTACAGGCATCTGCCACTCCCAGGCAGGACTCGGGCAGAGGAGACCAGCCCTCGACATGGCAGCGTTCAACCAAGACTCTGCTGCTTTTCAGCCAAAACCTCGTACTCTCTAAGTCCATCCACACACAACCACAAGACCTGCAGCTCCCCCAGACTATTTCTACAGCTCTATAGACAATCTTCACCTTGCTGTCCTTAAAGCCTCAGCACCAGCGGCACAAACTGCATCAACTTGGGGCAGATCTCCCAGGCAGTGAAGCAAGTGCTCATCCTGGCTTCTCACCCCGAGGGCACTGCAGCCCAGTCAGGCTGGAAAACACAGAAACAGAGCTCAGCAGCCTCAGCAGAGGCTGAGGTCAGTAGGTCTGTATTGGGGACAACATACAGGCACATGCCACTCCATGGCTCATGGGGACAGGCACAGCCCCGTGGCAGAGGCACACAAAAGGCACTAAGGGTTGAAGAAACCTCTGCAAAAACTTGTGGGGAATTGGCCAGGAAGGACTCAGAGAGCAAAATGGATCCCTTCAGGTATTTGATCCCCCTCTGCAAGGTTCCCAAGGACACCTATGCAAGGTGGAGGCACTGGCACAGGCAGCTGCCTTGGGGCAGGGACATGCTACCTCTGTAAGGTACCCTACAAGGTCCCCAAACCTGTGAGGCAGGGAGAGCCTTGGGAGGCAGCCCTGGGCACTTCTCACCTCCTCTGCCCCATGGGTATGGCAGGAGGGCCCACAGGGCTGGCGAGG